ATATTTATTAAATGTCTATGTGAGTGTGTGTGCGTGCACGCTCATGTTGGTCATTAAGATTTTCTGGGGTTGACTTGGATGGGTGGTACTTGGATGCTTTGGTTTGATCAGGGGTGGTACTTGGTCCAAAAAGTTTGAGAACCACTCCTATATCCAGTTCAGGTTTGAGAAATCAGAAAGAGAAAATAAAAATGTGCAAGATGTCCTTTTTCAAGGGATTTAGTAAAGATGAATTCACTAGTCTTTCTAGTGTGTACTATATTCCTGGATTAGTTTGAATTCTCTGTAGTTTTTATAGTATACAATAGTACATTAATAATTTTACTAGTTGGAAAATAGACACCAGAGGATAAGGTGCACCAGTTGGGCTCTGAAGAGATGAAGAACATGTATCTTCCAGAGTAAGGAAGACTGGCTGTAGAAGGGGGAGTCCAATTTTACAGTATATGCCAGGGGTTCCAGGGAATGAGAGGAAGGAGTTATACTTTATAAGGAATAATTTGGGAGTTTGTCAGGAATTTGCCTATTGCTCCAGTTCCCTATTCTGCCGCAAGGACAGAAGACTTGCTCCATGTGAGAAGAGCAACCATGTTTTGGGGATTAATCTCTGTGAAGGACTGTTTTTTGGGGCTGAGTAGGCTTTTGCTGAAAGTCAAACATTAGTACATCTTCTGCAAGCCAACAATGATAGATCACTGAAATGTGCCCTCTTAAAGTGATTAATATGCTGGTTCAGGGCTGCAGTCTGTGGCGGGGGGTTGGCATACATGGCATACATACTGTAGCATTTACAGGTTCTTTTCAGAACAAAGGATCAGTGGAGACACGATTAACAAACCAAGCACTAGCTTTTTTCATTAACAACCACACAAAACCAAACACAGGATATACATGCACATGAGGAGACTGACAGAACACGTACACATCTTTAGGGTGGTAATTACTTAACAACACGCTATACTCTTATAAGACTACACAGGGCACTAGAACTACTAGGACATTATTTACACAGGTAGGGTCAGCCGCTGGTCATCGTGCTGACCCTCAGACTCTCCCCGGCTACCACTCCCAGCATGCCCAGCGGTACTACGAGCGCCTAGGTGCTTCCTCCTCACCACCAGGCGAGGACGTTACAATACTTTAAATGGGTTCATACAAATCCTACTTCTCAGTCTGCATAACTGAGTCTTCTATATTTCCTGTGATCATGTTAAAGTCTCATTGAAGTAGAAGGATTCAGCCACTCTGTGAAGTAACCAGTATCAATTATACATTTACTTTTGCTTATACCAATTCCGCACATTCTGAAACAAGCTTTCCAACCATATTTCTTTGTCTTCATCTACTGTAGGTGATAACTGCTGGGCAGAGCCCCCAAGAATAATCAATGGAATTTTGAATGGATCCGTTATCTTGTCTGCTAGGAAACAGATACATAGTCCTTTTCAGATCCAGTGGCTGGCTGATGGCAAGATAATTGCAACCTTCTCCAATGGACAAGTGAATACTGATAGAATTCCAGAATTCCAAAATAGGTTGAATCTTTACAAAGAAAATGGATCTTTACAGATTAACAGACTGCAAATGAAAGATGGGACCAACTACATAGTAAAACTTCTAATAAGAAACGATTCCAAAGATGACGTTGAGAAGTATGATGAGGATATGAGACTTGTGATATATGGTACGTATGATGTATTTATTGTAGCGTACATCATAAATATAAACCCAATTTCAATTCTGAATGTTTATGGATGTCTGATCTGCAGGTTTAGTGTTGGTACCACATAGTATTCAGCAGACCCTGTAAAACTAAAATCTTTTTTGACCTTGGAGTGCCTGAATTTATATGTACAGTATGTAGCACAATTGCTAAAGTAAAGAATGATAAAGGAATGTTAAGTAGTCTACCACAAAATGAATTCACTCATTAGTAACAAATTACTGACTCATTACTTTCTCAAATATTAAATAAAAATAGAGGTCATTTTCCAATGTGCAAATATTAAAAGTTGTGCACATGTAAATTAATAAATTACATGAATCCCATTAATTTTAGCACAACTTTTGACTTTTGCGAAAATGTTAATTAACTTTGAGCAAAAATTTTAACTTTTGCTAAAACGTACATGCACATTTTGCAGTTCTGGTATACTTTAATATAATTGCACTAACTAGTACCAAATTACTACTATACAGCATATTGTTCAAGAGATACATGAAGCTTGAAACCACAACACTCTCGAAATATATCCAAAACTGCATGTTGCCTCCTTAACTGCTTGCTTTGAGTGTCTGTTCAAATAGGTTAACCTATTAAATTAGGGTTTTAATTTGCTAATCAAATAAAATAAAAAATGCGCTCGGCAAAATTTTATTTTTCAAACCCTTCACTCTGAACTTTTAATTTGAAGCCCTGGCTATACAATTGTGGCAACAAAATATTAAGTACCTCCAGGTAAATCACAAGTGTTAAAAAGTAATTCAAAAGTGAAAGCACATTTGTGCTTTGAAAAGGTGACTTACTTCAAACACCAATAGATGAAATGCTATGTTTGCTCTAATAACTATGACTTCATGTTTCTTACAGAAAAGATAAATAAACCTGTACTGGAAGTGAGACACAATTTCTCAACATCAAGGATATGCAATTTTTCCATAATTTGCTCTACAAATACAGAACTTTCCACTGTTTCTGAGTGTGACAACATAGAGGTTTTCCAGTGTTCTAAATCTTATGTAATGGATCCAAATTCTACTACTTCCCTTACAATTACTACAAATGGCAGCTCCATATTGTGCAATAGCAGTAATGTGGTTAGTTGGGACTCTGACACAATTGTTGTCAACGATGCCTGCTTACATAACAACAAAGGTAAGTGGGATGAATACGTATGCTTTTCTTATACTTTTTTTTCAATACTCCAGTTTTCATCTTTAAGATAGGGGTATTGAGGAACCAAAATAATGAGTGTCATTAATTATTTGACATGTTTAGAGCATTGGTTCATAACTGCAATCCTTGAGCTATAATTCAGTAGTTTTAGGTCCAGGGCTGACATTGTACTCCACTGGGTTTGAGTCATGGATTTATGGCCCAAAAGCTAATAATATTTTGTATATCTCCAGTATCAAACTCATATCTTATAGTAAGGAAGTATAAATAAAGGCACTATAACATTATGAAGGTACCATATTTAAAGGATAAACCTTAGCCTAATTACAGTAGGATCTATTTATAAGAGTGCTTTACCAACAGTCATTGTGAATTGAAGTTGAATGAAAACATTAAATTTACAAAGAGTGCTATTTATAAAGTGAATCCTGGTGACTGTCAGCTGTCTCTTAATTATAGCTTTATAGATGGGATGAACAAAACTAAATTCTATTTGACAATATCAGCTCTACAAATGTTTTCTGCATGCGATATGTTGAAACGAGCAAAGATACGAACAAAAACAGTTGATTATACAGTTAGTTGAAATAAACAAAATATGCTTCTTAATAATTTTAGGATAAAGGGATAATATTTGTGAACATTCTTTTAAAAATATAACAGTCACCAGTTAAGTTCCAGGATCAGGTTAGGCTGAGAAGAAAAGTGTTGTTTCTGTAGTCTCTGAAAGCTTCTAACGATGATGACGTATACTTTCACAGTCTGTTCCGGGTTGTATACATTGCGGAATTCTATTTGGTTAAAAGTTGAGATCTGGTATTATAATCCAATTGTACATTAAATGAAACTGAGTCAACATTGCATATATGTTTAAGAATCAACAACAATAACTGAAATGCACAAGTTGTTCTACATTCTGCTTGCATTTGACCTCTGTTACCTAGTTGTGTCAATGTTTTAAATTAAGTGCCCTTTTAAATTATCTTATCAAAGTGTTTAGGCTGCATACATTGCCTTCCAGATTTATTCACAATTGGGTTTTCTGGAATTCAATAAATTAATTATTTGAATATTTGGAGGGCACTCTATTCATTTCAATTGTCAGAAACTATAAAATAACAAATCCTAAATTTCAAAAGCAATGATGAAATGGGCAAAAATAAATGAACCTTTGAAAAATGGTTACCTTTTATGACATAACCTTTGGATAAACCTTTGAATATTATCAGTTGACTTTAACTATTAACTATTTCAGACTACTTGTCTGTTGCTAGGTTAAAATCACTTATTTTTAAAATATTCTTTTTATTATTAATTACACACATACACAATATTTACTGATTACCATTCACTGATTTTCTAACCTCTTAATCCAATTCAGAGTGATGGGGGCACCTAAGCAACAGGTGTAAGGCGGGGTACACCCTGGATGGGATGCCAGTTAACCTGCCAGCACATGTCTTTGGTCTGTGGGAGGAAACTGGAGCAGCTAGAATAACCCACACAAACACAGGAGGAACATACAAACTCCACATAGATAGACCCCACGTTCGGGATTGAACCCAGGGCCCAAGCGCTGTGAGACAGCAATGTTAACCACTGTGCCTCCATGTTTTTTCCCCAACGTACTTTTGACTGACTACTGGCATTTTTATTACAGATAATGGAAAAGTAAATCCATGGAAAAATACCCGTTCAAGACTGGCGGTAGTCGCATGTGGTGTCATTTATATTATCACCCTCAGTTTGTTGTGCTTCAGAGGTAATAAAAATTTTAATTGTACACAAACGTGTAGTTCCTGACCAGAAACAGAACACATTAAACAATGAATGTTTTCATATCATAACTGTTTTGCTTTGTCAACTGTATGTTCTTCACTCTTCTTTGCGGTCAGAATATTTTCCTACAATCAGCATATTTATTATTCTGAACCACTGAACGGAGAGGTTTTGCACTGGACTTATAGTTAACTTCTATTTCAATTTCCAAATTTGCTTAGCCTTCTACAACATTTGACAGGTCTGCTTATTATTCATGCCTCTTGTGATATTTCTGCTACCTCAGATTGCCATTAGGTAATAATCCTTATACAACTGCGAGCGATGGAAATTCACAAAGCATGAAAGAAATGTCAAATGAACAAAGAATTAAAGTCTAATGTCATGCTAATAAACAAGATCAAGTAGGTAGAATCTGCATGCATGGGTACAAAGGAACAGGTAAAGGTTTTTTCTATGCTGAAAGGAGAAGAGACACAATGTTTTGGCAGTAAAGCTTTCTTCAGGTGTGTCATACTAGTTATAGTTTCCAGCTCCTGCAACTCCATAGCCGGCTGTCAATATCCCAGTGTAGCGTTGAGGCTTATTAATAAGGCAGAATTAAGTGTTTCTGAGCTTTCCCAAATTAGGCGTCATTTCTCTGTTCATCTCTGTCGTGCAGCCACAGAGAAACTATTCATGCAGGCTGATTTAAGGTTCCTTTGAT